TACACAAATAAATGCAAGGAGATTATATCATTAATATCTGTCTTTTGCAAGCTTCCTTACAGCGAGCTCAGTGCTTAGCATATAAGTTTAGCTTCTAGTTGAGTTTCAAATAATTTAAGGAATTAACCCAAGATTATATAGCTAGCTAGTAGAAAGAGACTTGGATACAGATCTGTTTGATCTAAATTTTTTATATTATTAACATGCTCAGTAGGAAAGGGAGATACCAAATTGAAAGGGACATTGATCCTCTTAGATTTAGGTGACAGTTCAACCCAACATGGGTATGGATGGATAAGTCAGAGTTCCAACAGCTGATTGTGAGGGTAAAAGTATGTTAGGTAGGTAAACAATATGGGAAAGGTTTGGAGAAATTTGAGTAAATATAGCATTTTCTAGATTAAGAAGAATTTCACTGTGCTGGGAGTATACAATTAGTTTATCCATTCATCCCACAGATAATTAATTGTTGAACTCACATTCCCTGCCAGAGATTGTTCTAAGTACTGCCAGTATAACAGATATGAGTTATGGAAAATGGTAGGAGATGAGAGTAGAGAAGAAATCCAACCTTAGAGAGAGCAGACTTCTTCTGTGACTCATTAAAGACCTATCCATAGTGGGCCTAACTTTTTACTTATTTTTTTAATTGCACAAGTTTTCTATGAATATACTTGGAATATTTTAAAGCAACCTCTAGACAAATCATTCCAAAGGAGTGTACAATAGAGAGAGTTCTGCTGCTTTGTACACAGTTGGGAGTTCTAGTGAATATAGAGCAGCTTGGTAAGGAGAGCACTGCCTGGCAGAGCTATGAATGAACATCACTAGAAACACCCAGACATTGGACACAATTTGTCACATCTTTTGCAGATTTATATTCTACTTTATTCCCATTGTGTACCAGTCTACTGTGAGTTAAGGGAGAAGGATAAAGTGAATGGGAAAAAATTTTGATTACATTTATGCTAAGAATACTGTTCATATGAATGGATCAAGTATATTTATGAAATTAAATAAAAACTAATTTAAAATATAAAAACTAAACAAAATCATCACAGTATGATTTTCTTTGTGTTTGTTGGATAGTTTGTTGTATAAAAGTTGCTAAGTAAAAATAAAGACTCAAAGAAGTGTTTGTACTCTTTAGAAGACTTCGTCACAGTCTGTGATCCAACTCTGCTTTACTCACTCATGAACTTTTCCGAAAAAGAGACACCAGATCTATTAGATGAATTTCTGCTGGTTCCAAGTGTCAGGGTGTACATGCTAGTCCTCAAGACATTGTAGAGCTTCATGAACAAACAGGAAGTTATTACTTCTACATGGTAATTTTTTAGATGGGAAATGAAGTAATTGTTACTAATTGTCAAGATACTTATCTTCTTGGCCTCTCAGATCAGGTAAGAGACAATGTTTTTGTTCATGCTGGCCTAATCTATTAGACACCAGGCTATTTGTATATTACTTTTCTCATTGAGACTGAAGAACAATTACAGACTGTGGTGTGATAAAAACAGCATCTTGGGGCAGAGGTTTTGTGTGTCCTGTTGGAGGCAATCTCAGAGGGCCTGAGCACCACAAGGCAGAAGGTAGTAGAACTATATCGGTGTCACATGGGATGAGCTGCCCACTCTAGGCTGTGGGAATATCTCTTCGCCTGCCTGCCAGAATAAATTCACTGAAATGGTTTAAAAAAAAAAAAAGAGGGGGAAGCTGGTAAATCGACCTCATTTCCTATAAGCAGTGCTACCTTCCATTTCCTAATCAGGTTTTTAATTTATACATTTTTAGAGAATGCTTGAAATATGTCATGACCAAGTATATGCTTATTTTTTACCTGGAGACATTTTTAAAATATAGGATTTCTGGTTCTACAGGGCTGTCCTAGATGGTGTTATCCATAGGAAGCAGCCCTCATTTGAGTCACCCCTTTCACCCAGTAGGGTCTGAGTAGTTTCAGTCATGGAGCACTCACCACTCACAAGGCAGATGCCCTCACCATAGGAGTTTCCCAAACACTGACTCTTCACTTTGCATTGAAATGACATCTCCTTCTCTAATTTCTGCTCATTCAGTGTCCTCCATTAGAATCAATGTAACAGAAGTACTACAGCTTTGAGATCATACCTGAGTTGTTTGAAAGCAGCTACTGCATTTCATCTTAGACTTTCATAGCCTGAGCTTTACCCGGTCTCATAAAAACAACAGCAGCAATTGCTATTTTTGTTCAACTATTTATATAACCTAGTTCAATTTCAGGCATTTCTTACACACATTTTGGCTAAGCATCACACTCATGTTAGAAATTTCAGTGAACTCACCATCAGCTAACACCACTAATGTCTGAAGAGGTTCATAATTAACTTCCAATCACAAAGCGTATTCTGTGAATTAGGAACCAGAATTTAAACTCTGTCTGCTAGATTCTAAAGTCCAGAATGTTATTTGTACTTTTGTTGCCATTTATCCAGCAGCTATTTACTGACACATTGAAAATTTTTTTGCCTATCAAGCACTAGACATACAGATGGAATAAGACAGATTTCCTTACCAGTGGCTTACTCTAGTGGGGCAGATCAGAAACAATCATGAATAAATTTAACACAGTGTGGCAGGTGGTACAGAATCCACCTCCTCAATTTATGAACTCAGTAAATGTGGGCGGTCTCTTTATACTTCCGTTTACTCTGATGAAATGTGAGTGTCTAAGTAATATACTTCAAAGAGTTATATGAGAATTGAATGGAACCCCCATGTAGAGCACTTAGAAATAGTTCCTGGCACATAAAATGGCTCCGTAAATAACAGCTTTCCCTCTGATGCACCAGGTGCAGTGGAGTCACCAAAAAGGGATACCCAGTGCTGCCTGGATAGGTGGCAAAGGTGGAGAAAAGCAGCGGGTACAGGGAGATCAGGGAATGCTATTCAGGAGCAGTGACATCTGAGCTAAGTCACAAATTCATAGTTGAATTGGTGATTCAAAGAATATGGACAAGAGAATCCTTTTAAGGAGAGGAGAAAACATGAGCAAGGGTGCAGAGATAGTAATTTTCGTTGAGTTTGCACAGAATATCTGGAGTAAATGGTAGATGGTTTGAATGTTTCATAATGCAAGCTTTGGAATTGTTCCTCTCTTCTGAAGGTGGCTGGGAAGACAGGTCAATGAACACTTTTAGGTAATTGGTCAGGTCTCTTCTGGATGACTTTGAAAGCTATGATCAGGACCAGGGGTCTGTGGAAAAATAAAACTAGGAAGCCCAGACGTGTTTTTTTTGTTTTGTTTTGTTTGTGGTACTGAGGATTGAACTCAGGACCTTCACCTTGAGCCACTCTACCAGTCCTATTTTTGTGAAGCATTTTTTGAGATAGGGTCTCGCAAACTATTTGCCCAAGCTGGCTTCATAAACCACAATCCTCTTGATCTCTACCTCCTGAGTACCTAGAATTATGGGCATGAGCCACTGGGGCCTAACCAGAAGTTTTTATAGTAGCCCAAGTAGGAAGACGAGGATATTTGTACCTAAATAAAGCAGGAATGGAGAGGAAATTGCCAGCTTAACAAGTATTTGGTAGGTAAAAGCAGCAGGATGTTGAATGCAGAAAGTGGAGAATTAACTCCTGTTTTGGCTTGAGTTATTTAGGTTATGTGGTGGTACCAACACAGGCAGAACAGGGAGGTAGCCAGGATAGAAATGGCTATGAGGAGTTCTGCACTGAAAATATTGAGCATTTGAAATCATTTGAAGTTTAATATGTGAGTGTGGAGCAATGAAATCCCTGGACTGGGGATATGGATTGGACAGTCACCAGCACCCAACATGTGAGGCAGTCCTTAGGAAGAAGGTGGGAAGTGAGAGGCAGGTGGGAAGAGAGCCCTAGATGTGCCCAAGCCAGTCTTACTATTCTCAAATACTTTGACTTTTGATAGAGGATGTGCACTGAAAACACAGTCCTCCTGTAACCCCTCCTTAGACAGCGTAGTGCTTGGGAGTGAGTAGCCAGTAAGATACACAGAGAGAGAAAATAAGTTAAAGAGTGTGATTACAAAGTCCTAGAGAATTTTTTTCTGTAAGAATTGTAGTAAGAGTATGTTTTCCTGAGTCAGACATGGATCCGGGCAAGGTTTTTTCTTTCAAGTGTCTTCCTTTCAATTTTGAATTCCTTCCTTTCTGAGTTAGGCTTAGCCTAGCTTCTGATAGCACTTCTTTGGAAGTTTTCTTAGAAATGTTTTCAACCCAGATTGGATTTCTACAGTGCCTGAGACATTTCTGATGCCACACACATGGCAGGGGAGAACAAGTTTTGGTTCAGATCAGAATCTCAATTATGATAGAATCTTCCACTTACATGTGTTGGACCTTCAGCATGGGTGCCTTCCTTGCATGGTAACTTCCTCAGCTGCAGAGGAGTACTAATGTCTCCTTTACTGGTTTATTCTGAGAATAAGTTCTTGGTAAAAAGTGTCTGGCATGTAGTGGGTGCTCTGTAAATGTTGTTTGCTATGCTAATGTTACCACCACTACTTGTTCTTTGTTACTTTTCCGAAATTTGGATATTAATTAGAGATAAACTTAAATTAGAAATCAGTTGATAATGATGACAGCAAGAGCTACGTATTGCTGTACTATGTGCTAGGCACCATTCTAACCTCTCACGTCTATTAACAGATTTGTTCTTCATAACTGCACTGTGAGGTGGGCACCTGTGTCATGCAGTTTTACAGATGAGGAGACTAAACTGTAAAACTTCAAGTAACCTGCCCAAGAGATCAGTTTTGGAAGTGGTGCAGCTGAGTTTAGAGATTCTGCAGACTTTCATTTTGTGACTCTCTGAAGGGAAGCCTTGACCGTGGGCTTCTTGTGTCAGTGCTTGGACATTTCTAAAATAGACACAGAGCACATGTCAATTAAAGTGGTTAACATTAGCTAATATGCTTTTTAAATGGGTTTAATGCTCACTTAATTGTGTGATGCTCTAACCAGTGTCTCTCTTTTCAGCCTGTGAGGTTGAAGCAGGCAAGGTGTACCAGGTCTCCTCCGAAGAGCACATGCAGCCTTTCAAAGAAAACATGGAGCAGTTCATTAGTCAAGGTAAACTTCAAAGAGAGGTGTTTTCCTCCCTCTTCAGCAGAGAGGCGGAAGGCACTTTTTAAATGTATATTGTTTTAAAAGGGATTATTTTGACATTACAAAAAAAAACAGATTCAGTTTACTAATGTCACAGAAATATGATATGCTAAATATGGCATTTTGTGGATAATGATGATTATTATTTTTAGTATTCTTACATGACAGTAAGTACTGTAGACCCTTGTTATCATGAGCATATGGTTCCAAGGAGAGCACCATTGAGGAAAAACCATGAATGCTCAGGATGCATTAAAAAATTACTCCAATTTACCTACACTGCACATCTGGCCGTCCATAACTTGAAGCCACATGGAGTAGACTACATTATTGTCACAAAAATTACTGTTGTACACAGTAATGCTGCTCACCAAAAGATAGATGCTATTCCATACTCTTTATCTCAGATCTACATACCCTTGATTCATTTTCCCCATAATGTCACCCAACTTCTGCTAAAGACATGCAACTGTTCTACAGATCTCATCTTTTCAATTTAACACTTAAATTAAGCACGTTTACTTCTACATTGATTTTTGGATACATTTGCTTTTTGGGAGGCAGATTTTCACAAAATGAAGGTTAGGGAAACACTCAGCAGATCCCACAGTAATTTAAACACAACTGACAATAACATGGAACTGACTGAGAGCTGTTCCACATCCACTGAGCTGTGTAATGTGCACACAGAAATTTAAAACTTTTGTTTTTGAAATTTCTTTTTTTATTCATTTTTTGACCATGCTTGGTCAAAACTGCATGAATTGAATCTTCAAATAACGTGTGCTTACTGTATGCCAGATATTAGTAAAAATAGCTCGTGTTTATAAAAATATTTAAAAGTCTGTGTTGTTTATTACAGAAAATGAGATTTTCCTTTAAGGACTCTGTGTGTGTGTGTGGTGCTGGGAATCCAACCTAGGGCCTCATGCATGCTAGGCAACTACTGTACCACTGAGCTACATCCCTTGCCCCTTTTCTTAAATTTTAATTATGCTTATGACCTCAATTCAATCTAGTATTTATTTGATTTGTCAAAACATTGTCCCCAAAGAACAAGGCATATTGATATTTTTCAAATCCTCAGAATATTATTTGCTGTCTGTTGTAGAATACACTAATACTTCTGGATATTTAAGATCTGTCTTCCAGGGAATGTAAAAACATTATAAATATCTCATTGCTGCTTTCTGCATATCTCTGTAAGAAGCAGAAAGGGATACTAAAGAAACAATTTTTAAGTGAGAGAAAAATCTATTAAGTCCTAATGTTTGAAGTAATTGAAACTTAAAATTATTTCAAAGCATATGCTACTGAAAACTTTTCAAGTTTAAAATGTTACATCTCTTCTGAAGATCAAATTTGAATCATGCCTTGCTCTTTCAGGAATTCTCCCAGAGGCTGACATGGCTTGATCAGCCCTGAATCATCTAAAGACTATCTTCCTCTTTTGTATGGGAGGCCATGCTTTCCCTCATTTCAAGTGTCATTAAGGGTGATTTACAGTGAATGAGTTATATAACAATTTGATTAGTATAAGCACAGCTTATTTTTAGATTAGAAAATGCTGTTTAGTCATTTACAATAATTATGAGTTTAAAACAAAATTGTTGAGACTCATAAATCAAAGTGATTGTCATGTTCAAATTCAGAATTTCTCATCACTTCCAATGGAAAATCTTCTTATGCTTCCTCAAGAGTCTTCTGTAGTTACATATCAGAGAACCCTGTAACTTCACTCCACTTTTAGTGTTGGAAAAAAGCAAGTCTTTAATTTTCCTTCAGGTGGAATTTTAAGATCAAGAATATGTAACTTTTAAAAGAATGATATGTAACTAGAAAACCATATAGTAAAAGCCTGAAATACTCCTTTGTGTCTTATGAGAATTGATGAATCCTTCACTGTAGGAATTGTTCAGAAAAAAGTCAAGCAATTTTCTGGGTGTCACATGTAAAATGTAAACCTGAGTCACACATACACTTAATACATGATTTATTATCTAATAGTGTGAATCTGTATTTTGTAGACCAGGCATTGAGATTGCTTTTTTGTGTGTGTGACCAAATCTTAGTCAGTCTTTAAAAAATAAATCCTAAAATTATATTTAGGATTTAGAAATTATGCTTCCAAATCACAGATGACCAGCTCTAAATGTTTATCTTTGGAAATTGTTTATGATGATTCAAAAGAGTTGGTAGCCTCCTAAGGACTTGGTAGTAGTTCATTCATGGGGAAGTTAGTGCTGTCCATTCACACCAACTGGGTACATATCTGTAAACATTAGTGTTATAGGGATAATGACATATTCTAAGTGTTAAGTCCACTGCATTTTCATCATTAGGTCAAGGACATGAGGCTTCCTTCATAGCTCTTCTACCATTTTTAATTGTTTTATTTCTTCTCTGATCCTATTCAAGTATTTTGTGATTATTTGTTCATTAAATTTTTTTGAGGGAGGTGGGATTTTAGCTAAGTGGTAGAGTGTATGCTCAGCTTGTGTGAAGCCCTAAGTTCAATCCCCCAGTGTCACAAAACATTTTTAATGTGTCCAGGCATTCTTTTGGATATAAATTGTAGCAGCAAATAAACAAATGCATATGCCCTAATGGATCTTAAATTGTACATTATCTGAAAAGCAGAAAATAACATAAACAGCAAAGGAAAAAGCTTTGAAAAAACTTATGCTGATCAAGTATATAAAAAATGTAAAAGAATAAATGATCAGCTTTAACTATAGTCTCTTGAACCTATATTCAGTGACATATAGTAAAAACAATGGATTTAAAATATATTTCTCTTAAGGTAAATTTTTGCAAATGCAGCAATATTTTGCCCTATATTTCTTTCTTCTAGTTACCAGGGAAAAATTCAAAATCAAATTTATAAACAAAAGAAAGATACCACCTTAGTGCAAATAACATACGCAAAATCTTTTCTTATAGATTTTTATCAACAATAAAATAACATTGTTATACCAACCTCTGTGCTGTGATTAACTACAGAGGAATATTCATGTTTTTATTGATGAAATCAAAGTCTTCTTAAATATGCCTTATTTTCAAAATCTAAAATCTCTTGAACAATTCAAGAGACAGACCATGTCTAATACTGGCCAAAAGATGCTACTGCATTAGCTCCCATGGTAGAGCAGAAACATCTCTGATCCTTGTAATTAAGCTGTTGTATAGTCTGTGGACCACATTCCAGCAATCCTGGTGGGTTGATCTAGCCCCAGACCACACTGGTTCATCCAATTTTTTCCTCCCTATATTCCTATTTCTACTCAGCCATAATTTTATGGTCTCTTTTTAAAATTTCCTCCTTGAGAATGTTCCTTATTTTTCCTCCACAATGTACAGCTGCAGAGGATTGAGTTCTGCTGCTGGAAGTCCCCTGTGTATAAAGGTGCTAGCTGCATCCCATCCTTGGGAGAATTGAGAATATACTCACTATGATCATGTTCTCCACCTACCAAGCTACAAGTTCATTATGACACTTATCACTGTCTCCACTTGCATTGCTTATTTGTCCCTCAACAATGTAGCTTACATTAAGAAGGCAGCTTTGCTCTGCTTCTCCCTGTGTTCCTATACAACAGTGCCTAGCATACAGTTATGTCTGTCTTGCTTATCAAGCAAAAGGCCAACAACTCTCCTTAAGTACACAGCTTCACTTTTTTTAAAAATTTTTTTGTCACTGTTTGTTCCTGATCAGTCAGGAGTAGAACACTTTCTCTATAGGCTTCTGAACCCCCAGAGAAGCTAATTGGTTTCTCTATTAATATAGGAACCCATTATCTTATAGAGCCTGTGACTATATGAGAGGTATAACCATATACCTGGTTATACCTTGATTGTTACCCTTGATTATCACAGGAATCACTTGTGAGTGTGAGAATTCAAACTAAACAAAGGGGAACATAAGATGCAAAGGGAGGGGCACCAGAGCAAATTGATAGTTGCACTGTGGGGAGCGGCAAGTGATGAAGCTGGGCAGAAAGTCCCAGGACAAGGCAGGCAGCCACAGATTCCTGTTGGAGGAATTTGGGGTTCAGCCTGACATCTTGGGGAGCGTAAGTTTAAACATGAAAGAGAGGTTAGTTATGCTGTCAACAACAACATGGAAGAGCTTAAATAAAGGCAAGTAGACTTGGAAGCAAGATGCTACTTCCAGGGTGCACTGTTGGAGAAATGAGGAACCCTGTACCAGTGATGAAGCGATGGTTTGAAGAGAAAATAGATATGAGGGATTATAATAAAATAGAACCAAAGATGACAGATGATAGATGCATGCCTAGATTACAGATTTGAGTGGCTAAGTGTTATGAATCACTGAGACAGAGAATAGAAGTGCAGGTTGAGTATCCCATATCCAAATACTTAGGACCAGAACTGTTAACAGTTTTCAGTTTTTAATATTTTGGAATATTTGTGTAGAGTTCATCAGTGTCAGATTTCAAAAATCTGAAATCTGCAGTGCTCCAAAATCTGAAACTTTTTGAGCAACAGTTTCTGACTTGGAGTATTCAGATTGCAGGCTTGTGGATTAGGTGCGCCTAACATGTATAGGACTTTGAATGGTGAGTGTAATCACCCACACATAAGTATACAAGTGCCCAGTGGGCAGAAGGATATGAGCTGGACTCAGCACAGAGGTCTGAAATTGAGTATTTTACATCAAAAGCAAGGTGATTATCAAGCAGATGTGGTCATCTAGGGTAAGAAAAAAATAGAGACAGGAATAGTATTCCAGAGAGAATATTACTTATAGGATGAACAGGGAAAGAGAAGCCCCTACCGGTTTGAGTTGTCAGGTCGAAAGAAGAGCAGTGGAGGCTGTTGTGATGGAAGCCTGAGTTTAGGAGAGAGGCAGGAAAAAGGGAATCATTGTACTGGTATGTGTTCAAGTGGATCGTGTGATAGCTAGCACTGTGAATATGAAGTTGGAGCTATTATTTAGCTTA